CTTGGCAGAAGAGGGGCCACAAAAGTCACAACGGGATTGGCGCAGTTATCTCCTTAGGTACTGGCCTGTGCTTAGACTTCGAGGTCATATCAAATTACTGCCTGACATGCAGTAGGCACAAGGATATGGGCCCAGACGAGGAAGTGTGGCAGGCATTCCATGGCCCAGTCTGTGAAAAAAATGCAGACTGTTCCTCGCATGCAATGGAAACGGAGGCTGCAATGCGCATTTGGCAGAGAACATTGACTTATGACACCCCACTGCATTTCATGACATTCTTGAGTGACGGTGACAGCAAAGCATATAGTGCAGTTGCAGAGTCAAAAGTCTATGGTGCTGTCAATATAGAAAAAGAAGACTGCACTAATCATGTGGCCAAGAGACTTGGCACCGCGCTACGGAAGCTGCATGTGCCATTACCACGAGGGCAGAAAATGAAAGAGCCAGCCATTCAGAAGCTCCAAACATACTATCAGATTGCCATAACAAGCAACAGGGGGAGTGTACGGGATATGTACACTGGAGTATGGGCTTCGTACTTCCACTCATGCTCTACTGACAATGCTGGCAGCCACAAGTTTTGCCCTGCAGGAACAGAGTCGTGGTGCAAACATCAACGCGCTGAAGCACTTGGTGAACCTGCACCACGCCACACACCTCTCCTGACAAAAGCACAGGGATTGGCTGTGTTGCCCATTTATAAGCGGCTAACGGATGAGAAGCTCCTTGCTCGATGCATCAAAGGGAAAACCCAGAATGCATCGGAATCCCTGAACAGCAAAATTTGGCTACCTTGCCCCAAGACTAAGTTTGTCTCCCGAACGGTTGTCGAGACTGCCACAGCTATGGCAATCCTGTGGTTCAACAAGGGTCATGCTACTTTCGAGCACATCCTGGAAGAGCTCAACATACTGCCATCTAGAGATCTAGTTACTTTCAGTGATTTCCGCGATGCGAGGCGCACCAAGCGGATGTCCAAGCGTCTGACAGCAGAAGCAAGGGCGTACCGTCGTCGTGGAGTGAAAAGGGCACAACTAAAAGAGAGTGCTCGCAAAGACCGTGAGGGCACAGCCTATGCTGCAGGACAGTTCTAGTAACTTGCGGTGCTTTTCAAAGTTCCCTTGAACATTATGGCCAAAGATTATGCATTTCTAACAACTCTGTGATAAAAAAAAAAAAGGTTTCAAACTTTCAAATGCGTTTTTCTCATTTTGCAGTTTTGTGTGATCTGCGCTTCTTATACACGCTAGTTCGTATACTTAGAATTGTCATACCTCTATGAACTTTTGCACATAGCATGATGAAGGCCCATAGAGTGCAAGTATCTATTCAGATTGTCAGTGCTGCTTGATTATGTTTTTCAAAAATTACATAACATTGAAAGCCCTTGGCAACTAGAGCCATAGTAAACTTTTCTATTTTATTATTGTATTTCACCTTTTTACACACAAAATTTGTATAGTTTTTTGCACTCTACAGTTCCAAAGGATCATAGTCAGCTATATCTGCATGCTTTATCTGAAATTTTTATAGGTCAGAATTGTTGCATAACAATGGCCATAATTTTGCAGTATCTGACCTGCAGAAAGAAAACCAAGCAATCTACATGAAAATAAATGACATATTCGAAAAGAGGAGAAAAAACTCTATTAGCATGCCAATTTGTGTTAAATTCAGACTCTTATTAAAGCAAATCGTTTTTCAAGTAGCATCTCCCCTTAATGTCCTGAACTACATTGAAATTTCGCCAGGCAACTGCACAGTGTAGGGCCTTCGCACTCTTCAATGGCATCGACAGTACTGTGCTGACACAGCTGCATAAGAGAGGACCAATGAGGCTCGCCAGGCGAGACGTTTCAGCAGGAAAAGAAAAAATGATATTGCTAATGAGTATCTGGCTGGTGCCTATAGAACAGATCCTATAACTTGCTGCTCATTGTACTTTTAAAATATTCCAGATTTTCAACTTTATGCATGATTATCTCAAACCAAGCTTTTTCTACTTATGTTCCTTTTTCTCAGCAACCACCGCATCTGGAATCAGATTTTAGCCAGTATTAAGATAACATAATATTGAATATGCTGAAGCAGAATTACTGTTGTGTGAGAAAGTGCTCTTCTGCAACAAGACACTTAATAGCTATTATTATGTGATAATTAGGTACCTGAAGTAAACATTTACAAAAAAAAGTAGCATTACAATTTTCAGTGATAAATCTGCTTAACTCTTTCGCAACTGCGCCATAGGGCATCAATCCTATGGTATCGACGTTTGAATGCGCCGCCAAAAATTTCTTTCAGTGGCTGCGGATTTGTGGCGCCCTCTGAATAACTATAGTTTTGGGTTCGATTTCGTTTTGCTGTTTTTACGGCAAGGAGGCACTGAGAATAATATAAGTTTGAGTCGCGGTGACGGCGTAGTTTGGCAATCATGGCTGCGGCGCCCCCGCGCGCTTCTCGATGCCAAAAGGCAAGGCCGAGCTCTTCGGCCGCTTCAAAGTCCGATTATTTTGACAACAGCAGCAGTGAGGGGTCTAGAGATGATGTTCAATCATTAGACTTCAGTTCAAACAGTGGCATTTCATCACAGCAGCCGGGGACATCATCCACTGGGCGCATGTAAGTTTTGTTTTAGCGCTCGCAATGTATAAATGCAGTGTACGGCCTTTATAACTGACGACAGTTGTTTATTTTGTTTCCTTAGTGTCTCCACAACATACGGTGGAGATATTTTGCCCAATGCTCCAAGAGGTGTGAAGTTTGAGCCCAAGCGACAGCCTGGGGTCTATATTGACGCTACACGGCGAAGTGGCACCCGGCAGTTTGCAAGAGCACTGGATTTTTTTATGATATATTTTTTTATGAACAAGTACGCCTGGATGAACACACTTGACAAGCCCACCTATGCTCATCGTGACGGCTCATGGGAAAAAGTGACTCCGCTAGAGATGGTGTTTCATTGAGATCATCATCTACATGGGAATCATTGAAGTAACGCGATTGCAGTTATACTGGAGCACGGGGAGTATATACGGTGGCCTTCTCCTATCAAAGATTATGCCCTGAAACCGGTTTGTAGCTCTACTAGCCTTTTTACATGTATAGCACCCGGACGACTTCGCAAGTGAACTTATTGTTGGCTAGATCGGGAAGGTGTCGTGGCTTTTGGAGCACATCAATAAGACATCAGCAAAACTTTTTTCAACCAAAGCGGGACCTCTCTGTTGATGAACGTATGGTGAAGTCCAAAGGCAGATCAGGAGTGAGGCAGTATATCCGGGACAAAGTGACTAAGTGGGGCTACAAACTTTGGGTACTAGCTGACTCCGAAACAGGGTATACCCTACAGTTCTCTGTATACACAGGCAAGCGTGAAAGACCAGGACCACATGGCCTAGCTTTTGATGTAGTCAGCAGCCTGTGGTCAGAGTATCTAGACCAGGGGTACAGGATTTACATGGAAAACTTCTACACCTCTGCGAAACTTTTTGACCATCCGCTGGAGCGCAAAACCCTTGCCGGTGGTACCACCACGAAAGATCGCGGATGTTTCCTAACTGAGCTGAAGAACGTTGCCTGGGAACAAAGAGCTTAGCGCGGAGACGTTCAGTGGCTTCGCGATGGCAACATTTTATATATGCGATAGAAAGACCGGCGCTCCGTGAACCTGATGAGTACCATTCATACAGCCAACCAGTTTGTCCCAGCCACACAAAGACAGAAGACAGGTGACAGATGAACTTTGATTACAATCAAGAGGCCTCTGCTTGTCCAAGACTACAATACTGGCATGCTGGGTGTGGATAAATCGGACCAAATAATTGGAACCTACAATGTCTTGAGGAAATGCGTGCGCAGGTGCAAAACCCTGTTTTTTAATTGCATGGACATAGCGTGTGTCAACAGTTTCATCCTCTACCAAGGCGATCAAAAAGAAAACCCAGGAGTCTCATGGCTAGCCCAAAATGGTCAATTCGACAAGCTTGCTTTTAGAGAGCAGCTCATTCAGCAGATCTTGGACTATAATGAGATCTATCAAGACCGTGCCCTATCTCCAAGTCTAGAGCCGATCCGCCACCAACCCCAGAAAATAGAGAAGTCGAAAAACTGCAAGCTGTGCTACCGAAAGAAGAAAGTAGAGCAGAAAGCATATAACAAGTGCACCATATGCGAAGTGCCCCTATGCTTCCCGTCCTCCCGCAACTGCTTCTCTGAGTGGCACAGCAGTCACCACCCCTAGCTTGAAGGGCCATGAAAAATAGAGTTTATTACATACAGAAATGAAACTTTCCAGAATGTGAGCTTACATCATCTGTAACGTTTTGTACATTCCAGAATTTCGAATTTAATTTTGCAGCTTTGTTCAGCTGCATGTGTATGTTCTGTTTAATTCGGTTTCGTGTGTTTTTTCCTTCGTTAACAAATAATATAACAAACAGTTTCCTACCTATCAGCCTGTAGTTATTTTTGTTCGAAAGCTTGATCAAAAGTGTACAATTCGGTGTATCACACTGCAAAATGCAATAAAAGTTACCTAAGAAAAAAAATGTGATCGAGGATGTCAAAAATTGGTCCTTTTTCCGTGGTTGCGAAAGAGTGAAGTGAGAAGAGGAATGGCTCATGGTCACAATGATAGTAAGAAAATTACCATAGCTGTTATGGTTATTTAGAAAATGGTACATAAACTTGGCCTAAAATACACGGCGGGCATAGGGTTTACTCTGCTCTCTGAAAGTAAAGTTACAGCGAATTTTCCTGATGGGAGCACAATTTCCCGAGTTTTTCCAACTATTCAAAATCCCTGGGAATTCCTGGTTTTCCCCGTCAGTAATTCAGTAATTTTACCCTGCAGGTAAAATTACTGAATGGCAAACACAAATTCTGGAGGCCATGCTTTCCCTTGCAAATGTCACCCGAGGATGTCATGGACATTCTGCAACAAGTCCAGGGTGTGATCACAATAACGCAAGTGAATAAATGAGAAGTACTTGAGCCCGTACACTGCACGGTGAGATGACCGACGCGCTCAACCTTGTCAGCCTTGTTCTCCGCCGAGCAGTAGTAGAGGCCGTCCATCTCTCGTGTCGCACTCATCGCGGTCATCGTCAACACCGTTTCCTGCTGGTCGTTCTGGGTCTCCTGAAACTTGAAATGCTGAAGAGAAAGAGGAGAGGAAAAAACAGTTCAGCTGCTCTTGGTCTCCATATCAACAAATAATGCAGCTAAGAAAGGATGCCATCATAGTTATCAGATGGTTCTGACTCCCAAGTTTAAAATGCACACATGTACCCCATAATGTGGACGGGAGGGATGACCGCAGCTATAGCTCAGTTGGTAGAGCATTGGACGTGTTATTCGATGGTCACAGGTTCAGTCACTGCAGCGGCAAGTCATTCTTTCGTTTACTTTCTGTCTACACATCTACATTAAGATTACTTCTAATAACAGCCCGTATAGTTTCCTAGCCAGTTCTGTGTTAGTTATCATTAATACTGTGTCTAACATAGTAAAAGGGCTCTTGAATTTCCACTTGTTTCCTTCTTGCACCATCACTTAATTCCGTTTTTTTAACAGTGCTGGCTAAGAGGCAAACACTTACACACAAGTTGTTTCAGTGATGCAACTGTATTGACGTTGCAAAAACATTTCATTAAGCAGAGTCCTGGCCACAAGCCCCCGATTCTGACGTTGCCAAAGAGAAAACCACAGAGGAAAGCTTCATTGCCAGTTTCGTTTGTGGTCTTCCTTTGTCAAATTATTCCTCGCACCTCTGCCACTAGCAGTGCCTGCTCGAGAACATTTTAAACTCACTGCCCTCATTCCTCTTTCAAAGACAACACTGGAACAAGAGAGTGCTTCAAACACCAAGAAATTTCAGAGTGCTTTATTCTTCGACACACACAATGACACAAAACAAACACTGTTAATGCACGGGTAAGTGGACTTAAGTGTTCTGGAGCAGCTCAGGAAGCAGAAATCATGCTGTTTTGGAGCCGCTTTGGCACAGTAAAATGGGAGCTTTCGAGCAGATTTGGAGCACCAAAATGTGTTTTGGAACAATACAAGTTAGTTTCGAAGAAAATTTGAACGTCAAACATCGTCAATCAAAATTATTTCCGGTAAAAAAAATTTTATAGGCTTTCACTAAAACAGTGCTAATGAGCTGACCATACCTAATAACTAATGGGTTTAATGTCCAAATATCACGATATGATTACGAGAGACCATAGTGGAAGGCTCCTGAAATTTCTACCACCTTCAACGTGCACCTAAATCTAAAACACACGGGCCTTAAGAATTTTTGTTTCCATCAAAAACACAGTTGCCGCAGCCAGTATCGATCCCGCAAACTGCGGGTCAGCAGCCGAGAGCCTTAGCCACTATGCCATCGTGGCAAGTGCGCGTGCGTGTGTTTCATCATTAAACATCACAGCTAGTAAAGATAAATAACTCTAAGAAAACAAGGGGTAAGCAAATGCTTATCTCTTCTTTTCATGACTGCAAGAAAATCGCGGCGCACTTCGCTTCGAGAAAATTCGTTATTACCACACTAAACAAGCCATTCTGCTCATCTCTACTCGATCTGGATCGGAGTGGGACGAGCAACTCGCAAGGCACATTAGCGCGCACAGTACAGCAAGCTGCCCTGAAGTGACACCGTGGGCACCATAGGCACCGCGCTCCACGCAAGTAACCTGGAGATGACCTAGTCAACGCCTCCTTTATTTCAATGCCAGTGCAAATGCGCAGTTCTCAATGGGAGTCGTCAGTCCACCTTAACTCAGCGAGCGGTCGTGATGGGGTGCTATATGAGGGGTCCCGCTGCTCGCGTCACACATGCATCCGAGCGCTTTCTCCCGAAGATGCGATAAGCGTGTTTCCCACCCCGGGATCATACTTTTGAGAGATTCGCTCCTTCATGCTGATTCTTTCTGGCATGAGACAATGCCGCCACCGCGTCAAAGAGCAGTGCATGCAGAATGCAGTGACGCTTCCCCATTGGTTGCATGCATAGCGCCACCAATGGCGACACGCTATCTCAAAACACCGTATATTTCACAGAGGCAGCGTGACTGCTAATATTGTGAACACGAGGAATGCAAGACGCCACCTCTCAGATCTGTACACAACTGAACAAAAATTACTTGATATGATTTCCGTCATGAGAGGCTACTCTCCCCCATGACTGCTGTTATGACCGCCATCATTATTGAAGCTCTTTGGGCATTTCTGAACTTGACGAAAATATTTCGAAGCATTCCAAGCAAGGATGGGTCATCAAGATGGGCTGATTTCTTTTCAGCAAAACATGAACAAGGGTTCCCAGGACCGGTTCGGCGCTAAGAAAACGCACGAGCAAAGAAAGGCCATAGTGAACTCAACTTCATTCAAGGCCTTCCAGGGAAACAAGGAGGCAACTGGGCCACTTTCAAGGTCACCATGATTCTGGAGAGACCCGAACCAGCATGGTATTTGCAGTTTGGGCTGAAAGCTAAAACCCAAACCGGTTGTAGCTGCACCTTGCTAGGAGAAGCAAAGTTTGTTCAAGGAGAAGCGAAGTCCCCGAAATTTTCAGTTGGGCTGTAACTTGTAGTAAACGACGAGAGATTGAATGTGTGGTTAAAGGAAAGGAACAAGGCACTATTTTCTGTAGCCCTTGCGGGAGCACGCCTCAGCGCCTCGATGACGATGGATTAGTCGACCACTCCTCCCTCCCCCTCTCTCCATGGCAGCGGCTAAATGGAGTGGCAGGTTTGAAGATAAGCTGTCAGGCCACTACATTGTCCTACCTGAACGCAGTCAGGCAAGTTTGGCACATGCACCGGGGATCGGTCTTACAAATCTCACCCTACTTGCCAGAAGAGTTCTTGAAAACCAAGATCATCTAGGATCATCGGACTTGCGCAACATCTTAGTGACGTGTGCAAAACCTTGGTGCAGTGGTTCCGTGACCATATTTGGGCATCCCGTAGAGTGTGCCCTCTCCACGTGCATTGTGTGGTGTCTTTCCCCTCCTTCGTGGGTGGAGCACATAGACCATCGAGCGCCGTATTGGCTGAAGCCGCGGGAGACCTCTTGCATATTTTCAGTTAAAATTCTAGAGTTCTTGAGTTCTAGTTCCTGTTCAGTTGTGCAAAGAGCTCATACTTGATCACTAGACCACCTCCTTTCAAATTCTCAGTTACAAACCATGTGAATAAATTGCTGTCATTCTTACGAGCGCCTCATCTGACTTGTTAGACGATGGGTCCTAGGACGGGGGCCCGCTACCAGAATGAGACCCGCGAGACCCGGAGTCTTAATAACAAGGTGGCAGCGGTGGGATGGCGTCAACCCAGGTAGCAACGACTCGATGACAGCAGTCAGATGCTACGACCTCATCTATTTTGAGAGGCGATTGGACAACAATGCTCAAATGCTCCGAGCTCATCGACTTGAGAGGCAACCGAAAGGCACTGCTGAGATGCACGACACTGGAGGCATGACTGCGAGCCGAGTGAGTGCCGACTTTCTCTGTTAAACTTTACCAGGCATTTACTAATGTGTGAGTAAAAGCTGGTAGGGCGAATAGCTGTTTTGGTCATTGTGTAACTGGCGTCATGCAGATTGTGAGACAGCTTGATTAATCTATAGTCTGTGGGTGACTGCAAGGTTAACAGTGACAGAGCTGTTTTAGTGATTAGGTTAACAAATAACTTGTGCCAGGCAGATAGTTGTGAGATAGCTTGTTAAGTTATTTTCTGTCAATGGCGGCAAGGCTAAGAGTGACAGAACTGGATTCTGTGTAAGAGCCTAAGGAAGCTTTTTGCAGACTGAGATAACAGGAACTTGAGGCAAGGCAGATAACTGCCTTGCCTCAAGTTCAGGAGTGGGCACGGAAGCGCGATGGAAAGAACAGCCAAAGGCTTACGCACCTGTCTTTTCGTCTTGCAGTACGTCGCTGTTTTCGCGGCCGGCGTACCAGTGGCTGGTCTACGGGAAAGCTTCGCGCTCTCGGACGGAATTCGTGAAGCCGCCCCTTCCCCGGATCTTCCATTATCGGACGGAATCTGTGCTGTTGCCCCTTCACCAGACCTGCCAGAAACAGCTTGCTGGGACCTGACCAACATCGTCGAGCGCCACCTGCAGCACCACCAGTGCGCAGCTGCGACATCAACGTCATCTCGTCCGGATAGGATAAGACCCAGCATCGAGCACTATCACTGCAGTGGGCACGGAAGCGCGATGGAAAGAACAGCCAAAGGCTTACGCACCTGTCTTTTCGTCTTGCAGTGCGTCGCTGTTTTCGCGGCCGGCGTACCAGTGGCTGGTCTACGGGAAAGCTTCGCGCTCTCGGACGGAATTCGTGAAGCCGCCCCTTCCCCGGATCTTCCATTATCGGACGGAATCTGTGCTGTTGCCCCTTCACCAGACCTGCCAGAAACAGCTTGCTGGGACCTGACCAACATCGTCGAGCGCCACCTGCAGCACCACCAGTGCGCAGCTGCGACATCAACGTCATCTCGTCCGGATAGGATAAGACCCAGCATCGAGCACTATCACTGCAGTGGGCACGGAAGCGCGATGGAAAGAACAGCCAAAGGCTTACGCACCTGTCTTTTCGTCTTGCAGGTTAGTTATCTTTCTAAACTGCCTTGTCGTAGCTTCCGATCTGATGAACCCTTTATTGTTGTGCTTCCGTGCCCACAAGCCGTTCTCTTGCCTTTTTGTTCTTTGCTACTACTTCTTTGTGGGGATGTAGAAAGCAACCCAGGTCCTGACAACTTAGCAGAACTAGTGAAAACGATGAAGGATTTGAACGAACGTACAAAAAGAATGGAATCAGCGCAAACAACAATATTGGACACCGTATCTGTGTTAAAAGAACAACAACAGTCAGTTTCAGAATCAATAAACGAAATAAAGGACAGACTGGCGAAAGTTGAAAACCAAACCTCCGTTATCGAGCACTGGCAGCATGAAATGAAAGAACTACGCACCACTGTTGAGCGCCTTGAAAAAGACACTAGTAATATGCATTCGCGTCTTGATGACGCAGAGGATCGATCGCGGAGAAACAATCTTGTCTTTTATGGAATTCCAGATGCCGCAGATGAAACTTCTTCGGAATCGGAAAAAAAGATCATCAACCTCCTGACTAATACTATCCAAAT